ATGTATGGAATGTATGGAATGTATGGAATGTATGGAATGTATGGAATGTATGGAATGTATGGAATGTATGGAATGTATGGAATGTATGGAATGTATGGAATGTATGGAATGTATGGAATGTATGTTATGTATGGTATGTATGGTATGTATGTTATGTATGTATGTATGTATGTATGTATGTAGTTGTATGTAGTTATGTGTAGTTATGTGTAGTTATGTGTAGTTATGTGTAGTTATGTGTAGTTATGTTATGTTATGTTATGTTATGTTATGTTATGTTATGTTATGTTATGTATGTATGTATGTATGTATGTATGTATGTATGTATGTATGTAATGTATGTAATGTATGTATGTATGTATGTATGTATGTATGTATGTAATGTATGTAATGTATGTAATGTATGTAATGTATGTAATGCATGTAATGCATGTAATGTATGTAATGTATGTAATGTATGTAATGTAATGTAATGTAATGTAATGTAATGTAATGTAATGTAATGTATGTATGTATGTAATGTATGTAATGTATGTAATGTATGTAATGTATGTAATGCATGTAATGTATGTTATGTATGTATGTATGTATGTATGAATGTATTTATGTATTAATGTAATGCAATGTAATGTAATGTAATGTATGTATGTATGTATGTAATGTATGTAATGTATGTAATGTATGTAATGTATGTAATGTATGTAATGTAATGTAATATAATGTAATGTATGTAATGTATGTAATGTATGTAATGCATGTAATGCATGTAATGTATGTAATTTATGTATGTATGTATGTATGAATGTATTTATGTATTAATGTAATGTAATGTAATGTAATGTAATGTAATGTATGTATGTATGTAATGTATGTAATGTATGTAATGTATGTAATGTATGTAATGTATGTAATGTAATGTAATATAATGTAATGTATGTAATGTATGTAATGTATGTAATGCATGTAATGCATGTAATGTATGTAATTTATGTATGTATGTATGTATGTATGTATGAATGTATTTATATATATATATGAATAAGTGAGGGAGAATTTACTGTGGATGTAGTGGGACGGATAGATGACCGAGATGATAGTTGGGTGTGTCCGAAATGGTGCATACCTCAATCCCTGGTCATTTGAATCTGAAAAGTGATGATAAACCAGCGGATGGAATTGAGTATCCAATTTTCAAGTGCCAAACCCACTACTACCCTATTTATCCTGAAAATTTGTTGGTACGACCTTATGCTTGTTGTTTCACATCTTCTTTGACATTTTTTGTGAGACCTTTTACTAAACTAACATAGGTATGGAGAATCCACCCTTTGTACTTGGTGGCTCATCCCACTTACTAACTGGGTTACAACCCTAGTTTTAAGTGGATTAACCGTTAATAACCCTACTTATCTCACTGAAAAAACCAGGGATACAACCTACTTAGGATTCGTGCGATGAGCCACCATTTGTAGTTCGTTGATGATTTTCCATTTTAATGCCCATTTCGTTCGGAATTTCCCAGCGGAGGGTGAGCCTCTGCTGTAACTTGACATGGCGAGGCTGTCAGCGATGTTTGATTAGGGATTGAACAAGCAGCTGCAAACAGCAGCGGCAAACAGAAGCAGCTGCAGTGGCAAAGATGGTGATTGAACCGAAATTGTGATTTGAAGTAGTAAAAATGGGTGCTTTCACCAACAGATATGAGGGATTTGGGGGGAAAAAATGTGGCTACATTGGCACCTCAATTTTGACGTGGTTTTGACACTTTTCAGTTTGAATGCATTGAACTATTGAATCCCGAGTTTCAAGACATGACTTTGCTTTTATAGCCAGCCTGAATGATGAACAGTCGAAGTTCCGAGCAAAGCGCCGAAGGGTTGCAACGGGACGTCCTAAGTTGTGTTGGAAACTAGCCTATTTGGTTGTTCTTAACGGGTTTGGGTGCGATGCCCTTGGCATTTGTGTCATGGATCCCTGGAATTCACCGAATTCACTGCAGAGCTTCGTAGTGTCCAAGCGATGAAACCGAACGCGTCTTGTCGGTTTCAATTTTTTGCAACATCAAAAGCCAATTATGAAAAGCCAATTATTTGTGGTTTCAAATCTGGTGTTTTCAATTTTCGACAGCATCGACTCCTCAAAACATCAGGGCAGCACAGGAAACATGTGCGTGTACTGAACATGGATCTTGGATTGGTAATGTTTGCAATTACACTATCACGAAAGCCAGCCGCTAGGCTAGGCGAAGTTCTTTTTGCGAACAAAGTGAGTTAAGGGGGTCTGGGGGCAGAGCGTCCCCAACTGGCCAAAAATCGGGAAATTAGGTGGTAAAAAAGGTGGCCACAGGTAAAGTTTTTTAGGGTTATGTACCAGGTGGCAATTGGGTGACGGTGGGGTATCGATTCCCCCCTGGTCCGCCCTCCGAGGTGGACTTGGGGAGATTGCAATGGAGGGGAAAATGATGAGAAAAACAATGGAAAAAATGAGGGAATATGATATAAAACAATGGGACAAAAATGGGAAAGGAGGGGAAAATGATGGAAAATGATGAGAAAAACAATGGAAAAATGAGGGAATATGACATAAAACAATGGGAAAAAAATGGGAAAGGAGGGGAAAATGATGAGAAAAACAATGGAAAAAATGAGAGACTATGATATAAAACAACGGGAAAAAATGGGAAAGCAATGGAAAATTTGAGTAGAACGCTTGGAAAATTGATACGCGAGGAAAAACGGTGGAAAGAATAGGGAGAGGGTAAAATGATGCCAAGTAAAATTGAGGCTCCGATGTGGGACCATTATCGCGTAATGGAAAAGCAATGGAAAAATTGCAGTTTCGATATGAGGAGATGACACACATGTCATGTGATGTGCAGAAGTTCAGTTTTTGCCCAAATTTTGTAAGCAATGCAATCTTCATTCTGAAATTTGGGATAAACAATGAACAATGGGAAAAGAATGGGAAAGCAATGGCAAATTTGAGTAGAACGCTTGGAAAATTGATTACAACGGTGGAAACAATGAGGAGAGGGTAAAATGATGCCAAGTCACGTAAAGCACGCGTGAAACATTGGAAAAGCAATGGAAAAATGGCCGTTTTGATTAACACCATGTGATGTGCAGAAGTTCCATGATGGTACTTTTTAGCAAGATGGGCAGCATACCTTATTTGCTCAAGATTTAGTGCATTCTTATGGTCCTGTATCGCGTAATGGAAAAGCAATGGAAAAATTGCAGTTTCGATATGAGGAGATGACACACATGTGATGTGCAGAAGTTCAGTTTTTGCCCAAATTTTGTAAGCAATGCAATCTTCATGCCATATGTCTGAAATTTGGGATAAACAATGAACAAATGAGGGAATATGACGTAAAACAATGGGAAAAGAATGGGAAAGCAATGGCAAATTTGAGTAGAACGCTTGGAAAATTGATTACAACGGTGGAAACAATGAGGAGAGGGTAAAATGATGCCAAGTCACGTAAAGCACGCGTGAAACATTGGAAAAGCAATGGAAAAATGGCCGTTTTGATTGACACCATGTGATGTGCAGAAGTTTC